CTTATGTTGACAAATAAGCTCTAGGTCTTTCTCAACACATGAAACAGAGGGAAACCTTAGTATGAGACGACTGAACATAGTTATATTTGCTCAAATTAGTTTATAAAAGTTCTGCAATTTTCATTTAGTGGAGTCCATCATAAATGATGAATTATTTGCTCATAAAGAATCTTGAAGGCCGATCAGAATAATGATTTTGACTGAAACAGACAAGAGTACAGCAGCTATTAGGTACAGAAAGTTTCTAGTTACTAGGTATAGAAAGTTTTCCACAATCCAAGGTGATTGATATGGGAGGACCGAGGGAAGGTAAACTAGATAAGGGATAGAATTTTAGCTCTTCAAACCCATAAAATGTGCAAGAGAAAATGGTTCTTCTCAGTCTTTAAATCACTTGTCATAGTTTGGATGTCTAGATGGAAAAAAAAGGGAAAAAGAGAAGAAACTAGCTTGTGTAACTCCATTTCCTCTGGTCTGGCCTTTTGACTTTGCTACTGATGACCACCGACTTCCACTTCATGCTTCTTCCTGTGAACTTTTTCTCGTTCAGTTACATTATGCTAAATGATGAGTTCACCACTGATTTGGGGAACATTGAATCGAGGGGTTTGTTGCTTCTGATTTGCTTGATGTTTATAACTGTATATTAATAGTGTTGCTCATGAACAAATCTTATGCTGAGAAGGTCAATGTGCCTTTACATTATACAGCTATATGAAGTCTAAGTTAACTTACCTGTATCAACCTCATCTATACCAGATATAATGCTTCTAAGTGCCAAGTCTCCACAACTTACATAGCCTACTTTATATAAGTCGAACCCATCGATTGCCTTTTGAGTATGCAAAATGCGAGCAGAATATATTTTGTATCCACAGACGTTGGCATACTCAAATGTGCCCAGCCCAAATATGCTAGTTTTTATTTGGAATGAGTCTGCTTCTAACTGTCTCACATGCTCATTGGAGGTATGAGAATCATGTTAGGTTATATACCAGAGCTTGAATGTCTTTTTATTTACTATAACTGATTCTTGCATATGTTGCTTGCACTGGAATTGTCTATGCAATAATAATTACTTCAAACAATATGCAAGGAAATGATGGTGAGAATGTGGAATCTTCTTTGCTTCTAGGCCATCTTCTATAGGTTTGACCGAGATCGTAGTGGAAAAATTGACTCGGTGGAACTAAAAGATGCACTCATTAGCCTTGGATATGCAGTTCCGCCTTCTGTTATCCAAGTTCTGATATCCAATTACACAGATGTCTACGGCAGGGGTGCACTTAACTTTGACAACTTTGTAGAGTGAGTGCTTGTTTCTAGAGTGATGTGTCGTCATTTATGCATGTGATGACTTTTCACTAATCTACTTAAGTTGTTGTCTTTGCAGGTGTGGGATGATTGTGAAGGTATGTAAACCAAACTATCCATGAAGTTTTTTGATTGCTTTGAGATAACTTAACAGAAAGCATTATTGGCCTTTAATTTACTACCTTCTGTTATGTAATAGTTAGAGGTTTCTAGTCCTTTTGTGCTTGCACCATGCCAGCAATTTCCATCAAATAGCGATGACGTTGCTTTGGTCGATGAAATGCTAACCCTTGTTCTTTTGCTGCATCGGCCAACTAAAATGGTTTTCAGGTTCACTAAGTTGATTTAATGTGCATGCTTTTTGAACTGGTTTTCTCTTTGCTATGTTTATAACATCTTAAGATGATGCTTCTTTTTGTGCCTACTAGCCAGCCACCAAAGATTTTGACTCTTTCTTGAACGAATTCTCAGGGATTAACAGAAAAATTCAAGGAAAGAGACACTCGGTACACAGGATCTGCAACATTTTCCTATGATGATTTCCTGTTGATGATCATACCATTCATCGTCCCGTAGACCAGTCAGTGCTCCTTTTTTACTTTGTATTTGTTGTCTCTCATGTTCTTTCTTTCTGTTCGTTTTTTTCGATGGGTGTATGCAACAAATTCTATCTGTATGCGATAGAGAATTTGCTATGTGCAAGTTGAGATTCATGCGAATGATTTCTTCGAGTTTGCTGGTGTGAAAGGATTCCTTCCTTGTAACTTCTTGTATGCGTTTGATGATTCTAGGAGTCAGCTGATCCTGAGGACTGTAATCTGGCGCATTTGTACTAATCAAACTCTCTTGTTCTTTTTGGTGAATGGTAGAATGTTTCCGAAAACCAAGTTATTTCGATTGGTTTATCTATAGAAGTTTCACATTAGGTTTTCTGAAAGATCATGGCATGGACGACTTTTGTTTTGCTGCAGATAGTGTGAGTTAGCTTTCCATAATTCCTTGTGTTGTATGATTGGGGAAAACAATGAGACCAACATGGTATACTCAGAAGGTTTGGAATATAAAGAGAGGTAGTGATAGCAACATCCAACCTCAACCAAACAATTAATAGGGACGTGGATGATTAGATTGAGGACACATGAGATAGAAATGAGACACAGGATTATATTACTGTTGAACTAAATGCTGCATAGATAAATGTTTGGATTATTTTTAATAAAAATTGTTGATTATCAAAAATATATTATGTGAACTCTTAAAATTTTTTTTTGGGAGCCGAGTCGAAATGTATATTATTGGGATCGATACATATAAATTCTTAGCTCATTGTTTTGTATAAATACATCGTCTGTCTAAGAAATTTTGCTTGTTGATAGTGTTCATTTAGTTTGCCTGTATAAGGCCTACCATTTAATATTTGCTTCTACATCTATAATAGCAGTATTTTCATCAGTATTCTTTCTTTTAGTAAAGGTTCTGATCATAAATATCAAAAGCTTAAATCAAATAGAGCAGAAAGAGCATTTTGGAGAATTTTTGGATTGAAGACTAGATGAAATGCAGAGGTAAATATATGTTACTTTTGGGATAATCATTCAATTAAAATATTTATTGTCTGTTGTCTTCCTTGCTAAGATAGTGTTGAGACTGCTATATTCTAATCGATCAGGCAAAAGGTTATCCAAGGGAAATGTATGCAGATTCATATCCCTCTGATGTGATAGAGAATCTGTCATCAAATGGTAATAGATTATGATTTTAATATACTAATCTTTTTGTATCTTTGATCATATCAATCATTCCATAAATTCAAGGACAGTCAAATCTAATTTAATCTGTATAAATGTACAATGTAGTTTGTAGATCACAAAATATAAAAAAGTTATTATTTATTATAATCCTTTATGGTATCACATCATTCTCTTTTTGTCACTACTTCTCGATGTAATTCCTGGACTGATTTGCCTGACGAACACTAGCCGTCACCACTCCTTATCTGCTCTAGTTGATGAACACCATCTATCATCGTCGTCTCAGCTTGGCATCTTACTATATGTCGAACTACCAAAAAAGATTCATTAATATCAAAACAGCTTCCTTTACTCATGGTTTTCCTCTTTTCATTGTGAGAATTTCAACTGATAGGGTTAATTTAGTCCCACATCGATTGAGGAGTGAGGGAGTCAATGGCTCATAAGACAGTCGTGTCTCCTTTACCCTCAAAGGATCCTTTGGGAGATTTGTGGTTCAAAAAAGGTAAAACCGTGCGGGTTCGATCACACTCACTCAAAACGGACAATTTCTCGCACCCCCAAGGTGTACTGAGATAGACCAAGTTGTTTTGTAACATAGCTACTCCACCTTATTGATCTAATCAGTCTCCTCTAGTAATTGTTTCTGGATGACAGTCTATCGACTTCCATTGTCCCTAAATTTTGTATTCGAGAACAAAGAGATAATCCCTAAATTCGATCTCTTCCATCGTATGGGATCGCACTCCTCTACCTTCCTAGATTTGATCTCCTCCATTCGATCTAATCTTTTCTATAGATTCAAAATTCTTCTTTCTTTGCTTTAGTCTATAACATGTCTTCCTCGTTTGCTTTCCATAATTGTCCCCTTTGGAAACAACAGCTTTACTCGATCTACAGGACTAGCAATCACAATCAGTTTAACCAAAAGGCCAAGGACGTAAGAATTTCAACCATAATAATTAATATAACTATCAAAAGTTCCCACGTCCAAATGACATTAACAAAGAATCATTTATCAATTTTATAATAAAATGAGACATGTAATAAAAATATGTCAATCTCGGTTAAAGTCTAATACAATACACAATTGGCCTCAAACAAATATCATGATTACTCATTCAAGCAAATATCATCACATCACCTCTAACACGTAGAATTTATTTATCCATTCTACCTATGGTGACAATAATAATATCATCACCGGTGGATAATGATTTTCTATCACTCATACAAGTTCTACGATACTTAATTCATATACGACCACATTTAAACTCCATGATATTTTTTGGGTATCTCATAATTTTTTTTTCTATTTTTTAAATAAAATAATAATTTCATCGAATTCTTCTCTAACTCGTTTTTTTGTAAGGAATTTAAATACAATGATATCTCTAGTCTGAGACAGTCCGAGACAAGAATAAAAATAACATCTATGAGTGACCAACTTCACAAGTCACTGAGCCAATCCCTCTTATCTCTGCTATTATCTTAATTAATATATATACTATCATCTTGATCATCTATCGTCCTCCATTGGATAATAATTAATATCTTGTTACTCGTTTCTCATTTCAAACAAAGTTGTTATTGTAACATATGCCTCGGTAATAAAAATTATAGATTATCTTTTGAAAAAAATTCTATTTCTTGTTTCAAACCACTTAAAATTATTTATACTGTCCTACCTCGATCACTTCAATAATTTCATATCTTATGTTATGCCGAATGGACATCAAGCTGAAGTCATGATTGCAGAATAAACGATCATTACGGCTTAAACATAACAGTCAAAGTGACTTGACGATAAAAGATCTAAGAAAGGTGGAAGAAGAATGATGAAGATCAAAATCTTGATCGATCCAAGCACCATATTCCCAATCACAAAAGCGTCAAAGCTAATAATCAACACTAAAAGATGAGGTAAACGGACAATAAAAGGATACAACAGATGTCGAAAGTATCATAACATTACGCAATACCTTCACATGGATGCTTATATAGGATGTGATATAGAGAGACACACACACGCAACATAGATAGATAGGTAGGTGGTGAGTGACACACAGGTCACTGCACATCACACGTAGTGCTTAACCTTTGAGCTATACCCAGTGAGTTCATCGTAGTACTTAGACCACAGCATGATGCCTCCGTACTTGTCGGACCTCTTCACGATCGGCAGTACGTGCGATATGAGCTCCTCAGCCGGAATGAAGCCACTACCGGCTGCCTGAGGAGCAGCAGGAAGCCCAAGGAAGACCTTCGTTGCATGGATGGCGGTCCACTGCTTCCATGCGTCCGCCATGTTTTTGGTGTTGCCGGAGCTGTACTGGCACTGTGGGTTGTTGTAGAACTGAACCCACACGAAGTCGAAGAGGCCGGTCGTGAGGGCTTCGCCGATCCATGCGTCGGGGAAAGGGCACTGCGGTGCTGCACTCAGGTACACCTTCTTGCCTCTGTTGCTGTAGGCCTTGAGGAACCCGGCGAGCTCGTCCCAGTGCTTGTCGGTGCCGCCCTCGATGTCGAAGTCGACGCCGTCCAGGACGACGTCCCCGAGCGGCCGAGGGGACGACGAGGAACCGCCGAGGAAGTTGCTCCAGATGTAGGTGGCGACCCGCCTGGCGTCCTCGCGGGAGGAGAGGTAATAGCTCCCGACGCCGCCGCCGATGGAGAGCAGCACCTTGATGCCGGCGCGCTGGCAGGCGGCGATGTCCCGGCTCAGCCCGGTGCAGCCGTTGGAGTAGGGGTCGCAGTGGCCGGCGAGGTTGATCATGGGAGTCTGACCGTTGCCGAAGGTGGGGAGGAAGGCGATGTTGACGAACTTGTAGTTCCCGGAGGCGCAGGTCTCGGCCAGGGTTGCCTCGTTGCCGTTCTGCCCCCAGTAGATGGCGATGCTTCCGGCGTGGAGACTTCCGACGAAGGCGAGCATGGAGCAAGCGAGGAGAAGTGGTGTGGCCGGTGATCGGATCGCCGCCATGAGGCTACAAACGGAAGCTTCGGTGGCTGTGTGTTGTACAACGCGGGTTGGCTCGGCGGCTTTAAATGGGCCGATGGCTGGTGGTGTGTGCGCTTGTGGATCATCGACGGTAGTGTCTTTTGGTGTGGTTTGTCGGCAAAATAGCCTCCAATGAGACTTCAGCTGATAAATGATTAGTAGTATTGGTGACATTACAGATGACTTTGGTGCTTCCTATATGAATACAAGTATATACATATAGAGACAATAAACAACAACACATGGAAACAAAGAACAAGATAAGAAGCACCATTGTTTTTTGGTAAGGTTGGGTGGGAGATTCATCCTGAAGCTTGCTAATAAGAAAATATGAGAGTGATTCATTAACCTAAATTTAAGCATTTTAAATCGCGATGATTTGTATTCATCCAAATAGGGTGGATGAAGCACACAAGCAAGAGCAAAGTAATCAAAATCCAAGGTAATTGGAGGCAATCCTGTATACAGCATCAAACAATAACCCAAGAGAGTAATAACAATAGAAAATCTTACAAAAAGTGTTTATTAAATGAAATAAGGTCCTATGGGAATTGAACTTACACTCAATCTATGGGAACTTTGTTTTATTATCCTTGTAGATAGAGAGATTATCTTCATGCTTCACATCATAAATTAACTAGACTCTTCTTTGTGTGATAGGGTTCCTTTGAAGGGAAAAATCATGAACCATACACTGGCAATATGCAGGATAAACATTTAGAATTAGTGCCTGCCATCAATTGCACAAGCAGACACAAAAGTATCTGGAAGTCATGTTAAGAGCTGCTTGAATGTTTTTGGCCATCAAATAAGCATCCACTGATGACAGATAAACTTACACCCAATAGAAAACAATAAAATGAGGGCCAACAAAGTCTTAGTCCATTCCCCATTTCTTTATCACTCTCTCTTTAGCAGACAATTGAGTCTGATGTATTTTAACCTCATTGGATACAGGTCCAGGCTGAGACCCAAGTGCAAAAGTTTTCCTCGACAAGCAAGATGATACGAAAGTGAGCCAGTTCCTCGTTCCTCGCAACACAAACAGCAACGAATTGAAGACGACTGCAAACATTACATTACCTTTTGCTACCAGGAGATACTGTGAACAGAATATATGTATTAGCATGGATAAAAGGAAATAAATAAAAAAAACCAAAGCACCGAAAGGCATCTGCTTACTGACCAGGGAGACAATACCAACAATAGTCAGGATAGCTTGTTGTGCCTCCTCCCAGAAATTTTCTCCACCAAACCACCCAAACCAGCCGCCACCTCCAAACCAGCCTCCACGACCTGATGCACCTCCGCCACCCTTTTCCTCCCTCTTCTCAATTTCTTTACTCCATTTTTCAAACTCGGTCTTCTTCTCACCAAGAGCACTTTCTAGTGCTTTTCTAGCTTGCTCCTGCACCCGAAACAGGAAGTAAACTGACTTTGAAGCCACCAAGATATGAGGTAATGGTCCTCGATAATAGAATATTTTAGCATGTCAATCAATCAAGGAGAAATTTATATGTTGATGTTGGAAATAATAAACTGCTAGACATCTAATATGGCCAAAGTAGGTAACGGCTTCATATATCATGGAAATGCAGAGAGCTTACTGCTCATTTCAAATTTCAATTAATAAGTACATTTCAGAGCGGAGATTCTCCTTTAGTGCTAGGTAGGCAAACTCCAAGCATTACCTTAGATATAACAAATCACATTCTGTCTCCTCCTAAAGTGTAGAGGGCGGCGATAGACTGAAGAGAAAATTTTGACAATCATCCTGAGAATAAGGAAGAAGATATCTACAATAGCTGAACCACACTAAATTCCATTGAATGGGAGATTAAGCTCTTTGATATCTAGTAAAAAGAAGGGTATCTTTTGAAATGTAAACAAGATGCCTTGCTGGTCACTTCACAAAGTATTTCATCGCTAGCCGAAGATTGCATGTGCTGGTTGCTAAAATTCAAGTTACTTGCAAGACATGTCTGCAAATGTGCTTGCAACTGCATCTTTGTCCTTACTAGTGTCAACATAATTCTTAATCTAAAGAAAAAAATCAATACATACTACTGAATAAAAAAGCATCACAAAATACAAATATAGTGATAGAATAATCATACACCATTAGAAAAAGCATAAATTACCTTTCGGTGACTCACCAATGGTCAACGAATGGGACCCAAACTACAAAATTCTTAATATGAGAAGCCAGACTTCATAACGAGATCTGGAATTAAGCAAGATTTTCTAACATCACTAGATCTACCATACCACCATAAATGTGATACTTCTCCTGTGAATAACAATAAATACGAAGTGCAGAAGTAGAACTCCTATCTGTTATTGGTGCCAACTCTGATCCTTTTAGAGTGTGTGCAATTATCTAACGTATATTTATCATTAACTTTTATGTGAATTATAATAATGTAATGTAACAAGAAATTTGGCAGCAAAGTATGTGAAGGACTTTTGAGAACTCATATTTGCTCTGCTATAAGAACTATATCCTCTAATCATTCCCATAGCGAGGAACACTAAATCAGACGGTTATAGCAGACCAATTGAGCATATTAGACTTCCGAAAATTTTAGTGTTGTCGTTCTCCTAATTTTAGACTTGTTATCAGGCCTAATTGAAGACAAATCTTCGATCTACTGTGTCAAGCAATATAACGCTAGAAAAGCGATACACGAAGCATGTCATAGCATTCATCGATCCTTCAATGGACGAATCAAACACAACGAAAGGCCAACAGGAAGCCCACTAACTGTCAGAACATAGAAGAAAGTATCCAGCTTTAGAAAGAGCTTAAAGCTAAAGACCTGTTTACGGTTGTCCGCGAAGAGACAGGTGTGACGACCGTCGCACCTCAGTTCCCTCAGCAGCGCCGCCCACCGGGGGTTAGGGCTTCCGAGGAGCGCGTCCCGGGAGCTGTAGAGACGAGGAGGAGACGACGACCACCGCTTAGTCGATGAGCAGGAAAAGGTAGAATAGTGCGGCGGCGTCGATATCTGGAGCACCTGCGACATCGCCGCCCCCGACCGCCCTCGAGCAGGGCTGAAGCGTCCGTAGAGTTCTCTATAAAAAAAAGACGTATAAAAGGGGAAATTGGAAGAAAAGAGTTAGGGATCGGACTTGCGGCAGATCAAATCTAATCGGACGGCAGAGGGGGGCCGTTGGATTCGCTGCTCTCAGAACTTTGGGTGCGCCGGTCTCCAGCTCACGTCGTTCGGCACGTGCCCGTCAAACAGCGTTTCCCTGTATTTCCACGGACCGGAGAACCGGGTTTACCCTTCTCCCGCATTGCGGATCCCACAAGTAGCATGTGACGGGGGCCACCATGGATGGGTGGGGTTTGGCGGCTTCTGGTATGGACGGTCACGCGCCCGTCAAAAAGGCATACTTTTCCCGTCTTTCCTCAGACGGGGAACTGGGTTCCACCGCCGGACCCATTACCAATCAAGGTACTCTGGAGGAGCGGGACCCATCACCCACGCAATGTAGGAAATGACGTTCCCTAGCCCCGGTAAGTCGCTGGCAAGAGTGCCGTGTTATCTTCGGGCTTTTGCTTGCGTCCCAGATTACGATGGCAAATCAACGAAATAAAGTGATCAAACAGGGAATTTAAGTCAAAACATGATACTGTAAGTCAAACAAGAATGTCTCTCACAGTAGAAGACACTGCTTAATAAACAAATAGTTCGATTGGAGACTCAATAGAAGACAGTTCTGTAATGGCTTTGGTACCCTCAGATCTTTCCATACTTGCTTCATAGACAAAATTCTAGCACATAACTTTGAAGTAGCGCAATTAGAATACTCTGTATGGCTTCCCCATTGTACTCTTCAGGTACAAGCACCTCACCTGCAAGAAAACTCTTTAAAGAGTTAGTACTGAAACACATGATGAACTAGATTGACTCAATACTTCAACATTGCAGATATAGACTACATATCAATGCCTTCACAAGTAAACAAGGATTTCTTGAGTTATAATTTACAGTAAAAAAGAGTTGGAACACAAACTAAAAGCCAAAGCTGGTCATTTAGCAAGACCACAAAAGAAACATGACGGTGATGAGTAAGGTATATCACTTTCAATACTCTGAAATCTAGACATCTATTTACTTAAATGGAATGCAGGGGTGACATTAACCACGGCATGGGCAAAGATATGACTTGATTAATTCTAAGGAAATTTAGAAATGAAAGATATGAAACATAAATGATTGACTAATATGAATTAAGTAAAATAAGGATGACAAAGAACCCACGTTTTGCCAGTTCTTCTTCAGCAAAGACACAAGGAAATTGACACTGAGTTGCACGTTCTGAAAGATCTGCTTCTCCTCCATTGCACAGTTGCCCACTGCTACTCCCATGCAAAGAACCTTTTTGAGTTGAAACTTCACCATGGCCTTTGTCTCGTTAACTTTTGCCTCCAAAGATTCTTGGTGGGTAACCAATGTGGGAAATTTCCCTGCATGTGAAAATTACAATTCAAAGGCATTGCCAAAGTATATAAATATCAGAAAAGAAAGACCTCGTACAAGATCTACATGCAACTCGATTGATCTAAAGGGTAAGCACTGAACACAACAAAATTTACAGACAAGCAAACAAATACATATGCACAGACTATAAAAAATGAACTGCAAGATTTCAAGTTCAACATGATAGGAACTGAACTCCACCTTAGCAGTTAGGGCGTTTCATTAATCAGTGTGTCACAATAAAACAATCTGTCAATTTTCATGAACCTCCTACGAATGATTATCATCGTGTTAGTTTAGTATTAGCTCTCCTTGGTGAGGCTGCATAGATCATACCTTGTGATCAGCTCGATCAAAATACCAAACAAAACAATATAACACAAAATTTATATGATTATAACAATCCAGTAATTGATTTCTCTCACAACATTTTTTTATCTTAGTTTTATATGGCAGAAAGAAGTTGCTAGTTAACTCATGAAATTGGCCACTAACAGATTACCATTATATGACTAATGTTAAATGTGAGGCTAAAATTCATTTCCTCAAACAAGAATACAACGAAAAACACAGAAAATATAATAACTAAAACTTCGGTAAGATTTTTCATAATGCCATACAAAAATAGCTGCACTCTCATGGTCATTGTATATGCAATATGAGTTAAAAAGCAATAGTGCTTGCCTGCCTTGTTAAGACCAGGGCCAAGGAGACGAGGAATCTGCTTGATAATAGCTTCTGATGCTAGGAAAGCATGATATTTCTTAGCAAGTTTTTTTACCAACTTCTTATTTTTGTTCATCTTTTTCAAACTCTCAACATCCATATAATCCAATCCTATCTTCTCTGCCTGAGGTGACAACAGAATGCATTAGTACAATATTATGCAACCAGATGTGCATGAATCAGAACCAGACAAGCATCAAAATTGCTATCATAAAGTGAACATAATCAAGTAATAAAAATTCACAAGAGAACTCGTACATTGCATGCGTAAGTGCTATTTCTTTAATTGCCGAGAAACCATAGATAATTTATAATATGATCCTCTGATACTATCATCATGTAGTTTGTACTGATTAGTTGGAGGAACTCACAAAGCTACAATTAAATAGTAGATATGAACTGATAATTACTTAAATAGTCTGCACATAAGAGCAGAAATAACATGAAATGATGCAAATGAGTCAATTGACAATTAATTTAAACACCAAAACTCTCATGGATCATGCACTCGACAAAAAGGCCCTCTAAATAATTCCTATAACAAATAGATCTAAAAGCATAACATTAAATTTCATATGCTTTACCTCTTCAACATGTTGAGCATCACCAAGCATGCACACTTTCATTTTTGGGCGAGGAATATGAGGTAGCTTCACAGACCCGCTGAATCGTTTGTCCTTTTGAGGATCATAATTTTTCAGCCCAATTTGTAACTCAACAGTTTCTGTAAATTTACGCTTCTTCTCCCTAGAATCACCAACAACCTGGGAAATAGCTTCCCTCAGGACATCACTCTGTAGCTTGCTGTGATGGTAATAAAAATGTGTTCAACATGATAACCACATGAAACAAAGATACAAAATTGTTTTACTGTAAGTTAATAAGTACATAAACAAAAAATGGTGATTCAAAAACATATCTGCAAGTTGAGGATAGAATTCCAAAATCTAAAAAGTAACAAACAAATTGCATACTTTATGAACCTGAAATATCAGGTGAAAGCGAACTAATATAGAATTGCATGCCACACGGCAATCTTACATAAATCAGAACCCTGAAGGAAAAATTGCAGCATCAAACAACAAGGGTCGTGGCCTAAAACTGAAATACTAAATTAAATATAAAGGAAACAGAATCTAAAATGACTAAATAGCAAAACCTCTAATCGAGGACAAATAAAATTCCAACACAAAAGTCTTCTCCTCCAATCAGAATTACCGATCGATTGATTAATATGAACATAAAATATTAAATATAAAGTGTTAATAACACATTCATTTTTATCATTATTAGCTTGCATAATGCTCGATTTATAAACACATCTGAAGAATTGTCCAATGTATAGAAAAGGCACAATCATGCGGGAATATTTTTGATATGGTCTATAACATACTCATGTGGTTTATACAAATATACCGCAAATAGGAAAAGAAGAAAGTCTTGATTAATCCTGTTCTAAGCTCCATACTTTTGCATAACCTTAGTGTTACTTGGATGTCTGAAGGTATAACGTCTAAAGATTGAACAAGTTATGACCACTTCTTTTGTTGGCAGAAAATGCCAAGTCTAAGACCATTTGATTGCTTGGGACAAGAGAGATTAAGTTCAATGATAGTGCTAGTTTAGGCATCCTGCATCTCAAAATGTTTAGATATAATGTGCAAGCGAGTTAACATGAAAAATCTTAATCAGTATAACAACTTATGAAACAATTGTTGTATCTTTGGCTTAGACCTAAATCTTGATATGCTAGCTAGATTTTGCATCTATTTGTTAGGAATATTGGTAATGACAATGAAACTATTATTATTTCTGACAGTTGAATATTTGACACACCTCTTGTCAAGCAACCGACTTTTTCAATCGTTAATTTTGATACTTTTGATCTCAAGGTTAACTCTCTTTTCAAAGATGGTAGTTGGGTTTCTTGGTCACTATTGGAAAATGTATAGTTTGAGACAGTTCAAATTATTAATGTTACTGAGGTTGCACAAATTCCCTTGTGATGACCAGTGGCTTTGGAAAGATAATATTGTGGGCAAAGCTATGGCTAAGGCTGCCTATAAATATTTTAGAATGCAGACCCAGCAAGAAGTTTCTAATAGGAAAGACCAGTAGGCTATGTAGTAGATCCCTGTTGGGCCAAGAGTACAAAACTTTAGGTGTGCATTAAAAAAATTGCATACTGCTGATAGGTTGAACAGGATAGACATTACTATTGGAATAGATTGCCCCTTGTGTAACCCAAATATGGAGTCGGTTAACCTTTGCTCAAAAAACCTTGGCATATGTTAGCAACTAGTTTAAATTGGAGCTTACAATATAAGGACACTACACAAGGAAGCATATGGGGATTGGCTCAAGGAGGGAAATGACATTACACAAGGTATGATCTTGAGAGCAGCCATAACAAATCAGTTATGGATGATAAGTAAAACTCAAAACAAGAAGGTTTTCAGAGATAAAAATCCATATGTTAAGCAGTTCTGGCACAAATTCTTGTTGTCACTAGTTTTTATGCTAGTGTAACCAATGTTGAATGAAGAAATTTATGCAATGTCATTAGATTCAGTCGCAAAACCACCACGGAAGTGGTGTAAAGTCAATACTGATGGGTCTTTTTTGTCCAATATGGGGATCTAGGCTTTCTCATTAGGGATCCTGATGGGAAGTGTGCGATGACAGGGCAAAAGATTGTCCAGATACAGTCTGCAATACAGTTTAACACTCCGACAATTAAGGATAGTTTGCTTCAAGTGTGGAGAAGGGCCATTAGGTAAATTCAACTGGAAACTGATTCCGGCACTACTAGTGTGATCTTCATGGATAGAAAAGCACCTCTTTGGAAGACATGAATGCCGTGTCTGACATCTCACACATTGCCAAAAATTTTGAAGAGTTTATTGGTAATCACTGTTATGGGGAGTATAACCAGGTAGCAAATTGGGTTGCTACCCAAGGCGAGGATTACTGGACTCCATTTTTTTTGTGGTGCGAGAATTTCCCACAAGAGATTCTCAAGTTTGTGAATAATGACCTTAATGGGTTGTTTTGTAGGTTGGTTTGATCTTAGTTTTTGTTAATGTAATTTTACTTTTGGCAATAAAAAGATGGTGCAAGCAATAAACTACACCCAAAAAGAACAAATATTTTAATTGTTTACACATCTTGATGAGCGCAACATAAAATTGACATGCAGATGATTGATTACAAAACGATACAAAACATAACAAAATAAATTAGATAATTTATATAACTGGCAAGATTACCTACCGCATCAAGCATTACGATATCGATCCAAAATAAAAGGAAAAGTAACCAAAACAAAAGAAAATTGATATAGGCATGTCGAGCACGAACTCAACAACGACATCCAGGAAGAAAGCATAATGGTCACTTGTAATACCTCATTGTTCAGATAAGTATCTCGTCCCTCCTTCAAACCTTAAAGAACAAAACAAGAATGTTATGAGCGTAGGGATTTAGAGCGAAGATTATACTACATGTTCATCAAAGTCCGAGACTGAGTTAGAGAGAACAGCAATCCCCCGAAGAGGGCGGACTTGGGGATTTGGAGGAGTGAGCTCACCGAGAACTCCGCGAGGCGGCGACGGCGGCGGCGGCAGCAGCAAGAGGACGGGTGAGCCAAAACACTACTGCTTCGAGTTATAGGAATCAGTCTTGCTTCTTGAACCCTAGAATGACCAACGTTACACGTTTTATCGTTGGATTCGAATCCTACGGCTTTTATTCATCTTCCATGAATTGGAAGTCTTTTGGGTTTGGCCCGTTTGCATTAGTTGGGCCACAACATTGGTTGGATTGAACCGATCCGGTCTGGTCCGCTTCCGACTGATATCTACTGCAACCCAATTTTCTCACAGAACCGCTTCGGTAGACCAATTTCCGAACCAATTGTTTCCGGAATACTAAACTGGAGATTTATGTCTCATATATAGTTTTGATTCCAAGGCCATGAAGCTAATAGCTTTGTAATTGAACTCCGTTGTGCCATGAAATTTTAGCTTCTTTAGAACATGGCAATAGCTGTTTCCTGATTACTCTTTTGAAGCAACGGAAGGTATATGTGAAATTGCCTAAGAGGGAATCTTTTCTTCTTCTATGCACTCTGCGTTTATTCTCTGTTAGTTTCTGCTGTAGTTATTCTTAACTAGGGTTTTAGCTCATAGAAATTTTGGCATGAGCAAGGTTTGGTTGGTGCTATATCCAATCTCCATCCACGTACAAGTAGTTTGTGGTCTTCTCGTAGACAAATGCTTACAAACACCTTGCTTCTGTACCTTTTCTTTAGTATGGCATGGCATGGCTGAACAATGCAAGACACCCTAACAACTACCAGAAGATTATAATAGGTTTCTCCTGGTTGACCTAAAAGCCTGATTCTTAGTCTGGAACTGGAAAACTTAGTCCTTAACTTTAAAATAATAGAAACAAATTATATAAGTAGCAGAACTGGATTGAGTTCATAATATAGTATCTCAACAATAGCTGGTCTTTTTTTTACTTAAGAGATTGATCAATTCAATTACGTATGTTTCGAGGTTGGTGGTTGGAGCTAAGATCATGCCTGCAATTACTGGAGAGGTATCATTGTAGATTCTGGTTTGTCCTACATTGTGTTCTTAAATGGTTCTCCATGAGCAATTCCAGTGGCATCCTTCAGCACATTTATGGTTAATATGGATACTTTTTGAAGTTGCAAATATTATAGATATTTCTATCATTGACATACATTTATGGACCCCCTTCCACCCTTTGATATGTCATAGACACTCTTCTAAAGATATAAAAATAATAATGAATGTTCTTCCGATTTAAAAATCTATGAGGATATATGTCAAAAGTTGCATGTGTGTATATATGTTTGATAGTATTTAAAAATCTATCATGATAGATTTAAAAATCTGTCATGATATTTTCAATTTTGAGGGGCATAAAATATTGTATATTTTTAATTGTATGCATGAAATTGTCCTTCTTCCACTTTGTTGTTTACTTGTTGAATATATTTTTAGTCTTGGATGGACAATTTGTTTAATGCTTTCAGACTTTTGTATGCTTTCATTTAGTTGGAGACATGCTACAGATGTCTGTGCAGGCATTCTTTCTTTTCCAAGCGACAGATGAAAACTGGGGCAAACTTGTTGCACACAGCTCTGCATGAATTTTCTAAGACAATTAGGAAAAGGACACCAACCAAATTATCCTCTCCCATGGGATGCTTGAAAATTAATGGAGTACTTCAATTCCCTACATCCATGCCAAATTCAACTCAGACGTCACAAGCACCGTCGAGCATAATGATAGCTGAAGAATCTGCTATCATCTCCCAGTCTTGGAAGTATAGTTGTTTCACTATTTCTGATTAAGATGGAGAAATGTCATGCTCCTCAGGTTGTTGAAAATTTTCACCAATTTTGGTGGTGACTTCTTCTGTTCCTTCCAGTACATGGCTATGGACAATGCAAAAGATGAAGAGACATTATCTTTTTGGCTATCTGCAGGTGTTTGTACTGACAGGAATGCACAAGTCCTCAATCCATAACAAGCAAATTGAGAAAAGAAAGAAGAAACAGCACTGAATTAGTGTTCTTCTCTGATCAAGAGGTTGCATGGTTCATGGCTATTTGGTTAACAAGTCATGTTGATTCTGCAACGTGAGGTACAGAAAGTGTGGTATGGCTCCATTTTGTAACCTTCCAGTTTGATAAGAAAGAGGAGAAACCCAACAAGTCCTTAAGTGCCATCAGCCCTTTCAAATGGATGCGATTATTTTATATTTAAAAGTCAATTATTGCTTTCATTTCTAATGTCTGGAAGGAATCACCGATTGCGATTTCTGGGAAATAATCAGATTATATTGGTTCAGAATCTAATGAAGGTTGACATTCTACTGCATTTTCTATGGGAACAAGAATGTTATTCTAACGTTGGTGCTTAAAAATTTTGCTTTCCTGCTGATGCCCATGACAACTTTCTTTCAGAAAGCAAGGAATAACTGCTCCTAATGTAATGGTATATCAAATGACTGGGAAATGCAACCAACATTGATAGTTGACTTCCACCTTGAATGAAAATGACTAGTCTCTTTTTAAGCAGAAGGGTTGGTCACTATTCCATACAGGCTAATGAGTGTCCATGTGGAAGATATATCAGATCCACAACCCATACTTGGTGTAGAAAAGAGCCCCATGTAGCAGCAGAACAATGCAGAACTTCACTGTAACCCTTCCAAATGTGCCCATCAGTAAACAACCTTGTTTTCTTGGTGCAGCAGAGCTTGTTTTCATGAGGAAGGGACCATCTCAAGCAATTCCATTACAGTGGCAGGATTATTGAGAGAAGCTGGTTTTCTTATGGCTGATTATGTTAGTGTTTGGTATGGTTTGGGTTGCCATGGATACATGTTCAATGTGTGCTTATGAAGAGGCATTTTTTTGTCAAAGTAAACTCACCTCTTTAAAGTATATAACAGAGAATGGGATAAAACTTTCATGGATATTTTTTTATTGTACTGAGCCTTGTCTGTTTCCTAATCAATGAAGGTTGGTTGAGCACTTCATATTTCTGAAGAGCCAATGAGATAGCACAGTTGGTTACAAGGACTGAAGTTGGAGACAGTACTTCTAGGGGCTTCCTGTCAAAAACTTTCCATTATTTTTCCTCTCTGTCTCTCTCTCTCATCTGTGTCCCCATAAAGTTTGCAGACAATCTCACAAGGACAAGATCTTCAATATAGTACTATGGATGAACACAAGGCTTGATATGATTACTATTCACAGGAGGAAAGATGAGAATCATAATGGACAGGGTCTATCAGATGATTCAGCTATACAAAAAGTACTAATATCCTAAGGTCATTTTGGAAGGATACTTCCATACAATTTTCTGCTTCTCTGCCTCTGTGCCTGGAAGAGTTCCTATTAATTTCGACCAACTTGTGCTTCCTGGTATCTTTGACTCCACACTGAAGCTTCTCTCAATTCATGCTAAAAGTTCTTTTTCTTAAGCTGTTCTAACCTTTCTTCTTGTTGATCACTACAGAAAGTAAAGTGTGCTTGTCGAAGCACCAAACAAGTTTGAGAGATCAGTATACGAAGGATCATCAAAGTTTCAGGATGGTGCAAGAGGGAGAAGAAACTTGGATTGCAGATCACAGAGTTGGAGAAACTGGCCTTTCTGATCCTCGACTTTCAACTCACGGAATTCATGGCACCACTCCAGCTGCAACTAAGTTCTTGTACTGTTCCTAAATTCTTTTTCTTTTAGTCCATGTTCATCATCTTCTTTCAAACTTATAATCTTTGAGATTTATAGTAGATCTTGGCCAGATCTCATTCATTCCTTCCAATACAATGTAAGTTTTACATATCACTGCAGATGTTTGATTTTATTCACAAAACAACTGCCTTTAAATGGGCAAGCACCATGGAAATACCAATTTCTAAATGGCAATGCCAATTTCTGCTGCTTTCCTTTTTTAACTTCATAACAATCTATTTGTTTTGTTCCACTCTTTATTGCATTAGACCTCTGCTCAACTATTTCATAAAGCATTGGCCAATTCCATTTATGTGCTCTTCTCTGATTTCATTTGTCCATCCCCTTCTTTCTTCCACTTTCCTTGTCGATTACCTTTCTCTAATGTCATAAAGGAGAGGAGATCCATCCTACTACACCTTTGAGTCATTGAGTAGCAGCTATTGTATAAACAAGGGGTAAAAACAACTTCCTTTTGCTTTGTTTCTATTGTAAATAGTATTTGATGTGTAAGATGGTTTGTCCATTCAGTGATCAGGAAGAAGCTTCTTATTTTGGGGGTCTGGAGGAGGCTCTTATGGATGGAGTAGATGGCATAAGAGAAACTGAAGACAGTAAGTGTAGCTTTCTCTCTCTCTCTCTCTCTCTCTCTCTCTCTCTCTCTCTCTCTCCATAACTTTAACCACATCACCAGTAGATTTATTTGAGCCCCACTACGATAAGAGGTTTTGCCTCTTAGACCACAATGATCATGTGAATCCAGGAAAATTAAATGCTATGACTCCCCATAGATAGAATCCTCTCCCATCTCAAGCTTATTGAAGTATTCTACTAACTCTTTGCAACACCTACAAAAGGAAGGAATAAGTTCCTTTTCAAGTACTGTCACCTGCTTCTTCATTTCTTTCTCACTTTTAGATATCTTCTTCATCTTGTGCATCTCATGCTCTTGCAGCTTTTCTCACAGCCAGACTCCCAACACTTCAGATCTTCCCATCATGGCCAATGAGATTCCAGCAATCTCCCAGAGTAAGGTCTTGCCTCTTTTGACTTGGGTTTCTGGTGTGGAAGTAGGTATGGCATCATCCAAAATGAGATGGGATTGCTGTTTCATTTAGTCTTTATGGTGCATGCTTTGATTCCAGCAGGGGAGTTTGTGGTCAGCAAGGAGCAGTGCTTCAAGCTCAGCTCAAAACACTGCATCTCATCCAGAATCAGACAATCCAGCAAGCAGAATGGCCTCTTCAGACCTGTGTGCTGACCACAAGCAGCAACAAGAGGTGATGATGGTGAGTGGTGCTTCCGGAGTAACAACTGTTCGATTGCTTTGTTCATCAGTAGCTCAATTCCCTAGATAACAAAGTTCAAACCTGAGCCATGCATTTACCTCCTCAACAAGACCATACTCACTTCAATAGCTCCTGACTCTCTTGGCCTCAGTTCTTGCTCTCTTTCCCAAGTTTGCTTCTGTTTCTTGATGCAGATGAATTCTGACATGACCAAGTTCATTGTTTCTACTGTAGCAATTTTGCATCTTCAACAGTGTCAACTGTAGGGTTTCATTTTTCTGGGTAATGATATTTAAATTAGTCAGGAAAAGTTTGGCATCTACCATTCACATCCATCCAGTTGAAAAATCACATTTATCTTTGTTCTCTCCTCAGCTTTTGAGTTTGCTTAAGGGTAAATATGCTGATACCTGTCATTATCCGACCTTCACTACTACATTCTGCCAACACGCAAAAATATGCTCTTTGACTTCGGGCAAAACAACATAGTTTGTGTTGCATGTTTCAGAGAAAGATGACTGGTTCAACTGCAAGGAAAGATGGAAAGGTACTTGATCCTAAGGTACTCTCTCTCTCTCTCTCTCTCTCTCCAAGAAAAAGTTCCTTCTGCACAGTGACAGTGTAATATGTATATATTCATCCTCTCATTATTGATCATAAACTAAAAATTTCTTCGTTTTTATGGAATAAATGGTTTTCTTTGATGTAAACGGACTCACTTCTTTAGATCTTCTTATCAGAGATTAAGGCGATTAGCTCAGAATCGTGAGGCAGCAAGGAAGAGCCGCCTGAGGAAAAAGGTGCACTCCTCAAATCAATCTCCCATAAGAAACAACATCATTATCTTGGTTTAATAGATTATTATTATTATGCATCGAGTTATCCGAAATAAACAGGCTTACGTGCAACAATTAGAGACCAGCAGAATTAGGCTGCAGCAGCTCGAGCAAGATCTACATAGTGCAAGATTACAGGTCGGGAATTTATCCTTTGGTGGTGGAACTCTTAGCTCAGCCTTCTTTTGGATCATCATCCCATCACTTACAGTGGTTCTTCTATGCTCGTTTGTTGTTAGGGTGTGTTCTTAGGAGTCGCAGGCTGTGCAAATGGATCTACGAGTTCCAGTAAGAAGCTGCTTCCTCATTGATTTCAGCATGGTTTGCTTCTACGCGTTTACTGTAGATCTCGTTCTTCTTCTTGCTTCGGTGCTGCAGGCGCTGCGATGTTCGACATGGAGTATGCTCGATGGTTGGATGAGAACTGCAAACACATGTCGGGGCTTCAAGGTGCGATACAAGCTCACCTTCCTGATGGCGACCTCGGTGTCATTGTAGACCAGTGCGCCGTGCACTACGACGAGCTCTTCCGGCTGAAAGCCATCGTCGTCAAGTCCGACGTGCTCCACCTCTTGAACGGAGCATGGAGGACTCCGGCGGAGCGCTGCTTCCTGTGGATGGGCGGATTCAGGCCGTCCGAGCTTCTCAAGGTGAAAAAAGATCCTCCTCTATCCCTTCTCGATGCAGCGATTCCAATGCAGAAGCATGATTCCTGCTTCCTTGCTGATGAGCTGGAGTAGATGGTGGTGGCTCAGCTGGATCCGCTGACGGAGCAGCAGTTCATGGGGATCTGCAACCTCCAGCAATCGTCACAGCAGGCGGAGGAGGCGCTCTCGCAGGGCCTCGAGCAGCTCCACCATTCATTGGCTGACGCCATTGCCGGTGGCTTCCTCAGCAATGGCGTGGCCGATGGAAGCTACATGGTGATCGCATTAGGGAAGCTCGACAACCTCGAAGGACTAGTCCGCCAGGTTTTTACTGTGTCTACTTAGGAGTTACTGAAAGCAAACAGATCAGCATGTTATACATCTAATATATGTTAAATATAATACATGAACAGAATAAGATAGAAAAAGTATATTAGTAAGAAGGCCATTTGATTTCTAATCATAAGGAATGGCCTTCTTTTTTGGTTTTAGGTAAAGAACAGATCTAAAATGCTCCACAAGAAAACCCTAACAGAAGCTATTTGGATTATACATTGCCTTGTGCATTAAAGTTAGGAACAGTTGCTGTCCAAAAACAGTAGTAAGAAAAGGACTGAGCTCCTAATCTTCCTATCCAATATAGATTGATAGATCTATCATAACATTCTGTGTATAGGATTAGAGAAACCCTAAAAGAGAAGTAAGGGATATTTATGTTTTTTTTTTCTAATATTAATTTGATCATGTCAACAAGGTGAGTATTACTCAGATTGATTAGGGTTAACAGAGATCCGACATCAATTTAAGATCCGACATCAATTTAACTCAAAATGTTTAAGCTAAAGTTGATAATAATACATTCATCAAACTTTTATAAGTCAATCTTAATCTTGTTCACTTCTTATAGGACTAATTCAGAGTATTACAAATATATTATAAATTATTATTGATTCTCTTTTCAGTAATTTTTTTTTTCTAAATCTTAACTCTCACATCATATTATAATTTATAAATTAATAATGAGACCGAGTTAAATTGGTCGAGATTCATTTATATCAAATTTAACGTAAATTCAATCCAAAAATTTTAAGCTTTTGTATGGAACTCATATATATCAGTTGACAATTCTCAATGCTATTTTTAGTCCTCTATCAATATTTATTTTGTTGATAGACCAAACAGTGACCCCAAAGTTATATGACTGTGTGCAGGCTGATAAGTTGAGACAACAGAGCTTACACCAATTGCGCAGCCTCTTCACCACCATACAAGCAGCCAAATGTTTCCTAGCAATCGGAGAGTACTACGCCCGCCTGCGTGCTCTCAGCTCGCTATGGGCGTCTCGGCCACGAGAGTAAGCTCATACTCTTCTTCCAGACTTGATCCATGGCTTTGCTTTGTATGACAGATGCCTACCATCGATGAAATCATGATCACTTCATCATTGTCTTTTTGAATGACAGATGCATGCCTTCTCTTTTTGACTGATAGATTGTTGATGCATTCCTTCTCTATCATCGGGTGGAAAGCCATGGCACACCTAATCATTTATTGGTTACTCTATCTTCTCCACAGGAGCTTGATCAGAAACGATGGTGTTGTCTCTACATCAACAGACCTGCAAATCGTTCATCAACCACTGCAAAATCATTTTCCATATTTGCCTCTTTGAGCTCATTCTCATGAGAAAGAGAGAGAGAGAGAGAGAGAGAGAGAGAGAGAGAGAGAGAGAGAGAGAGAGAGTGTGTTGCTGATAATGGCTATTGAACAATGTGTGCATGTATTATATGTACAAATAACAAGGGGAAGCATATGCTAACAGCAAATTGCATGATCGAGATGGCATACACACACTATATAGCTAAGACAGGAGATTAGAACTGTCGGAGGTATGCTCGAAGGCCGTCACCATGTGCAGCTGTTGCAGGGACGCAGCTTCCTCACTGCCTTCTGCACATTTATACGCGACTGCTCTGCCATAGACTCCAGCAGCTGCAGACAAATGGAGAGCAAATTAGTAGGAAGCATGGAAGAGCACAGCTGCGTTCCAGCGGCTCACCAGTTGCGTCCTTGACGCCATTGCCGTTCTCTGCAGAGAGTGTTACTCGTTATTAGCACCCAATGGTAGCAGATGTTATCAATGCGAACTTGATCATTCACCTGCTCTTCTGTCAGCCGGGCATTCTCCTCTTTCAGCACGTTCAGCTCCGCCTCCAGCTCCACTGTGTATGCCTGTGCGTATTGCATCTCATTTGTAAGGATTACGGGCTCGGCATTCGCAGTGTTGCTATGACGGACGTGATGCGAGAGCAATTCGGTAGAGCTCAAGAAATGTACCTGCTTTCTGGCGCGAGACCTGGCGGCGGACTCCCTGTTCTTGATCATCCTCCTCTGCCGCCGCTCCACCACCTTGTCCACCGTTTCCCCGTCCCCCGGTCGCTTCCTTCCGACGCCGCCTACGCTTCTCGGCACGTCGGCTCCGTACCCTGGCACCGAGTTGTCCACCTGTCCTCTCGCCATTCCATCCGACGACAACGGGCTCGCGGGTGACCCTACCACCGCGGCCGCCGCCGCCCCCAACACTTGCTCGTCGACGTACCCTGCCATGCCCACCATGTGGCCGAAACCGGTCATCTCATACTGCTGCGCCGCGGAGGGGGGCGGCGCCATCGACTGCGGGTGGGGCGATGGCGATCCTTGCCCGCCGTGTCCTTCCCGAACCACCCCGGCCTTTACGAGGAAGTCCTCGAGCGTCATCTCCCCGAAGGTCGGCTCACGACAGCCGTTCCCGACGCCGTCCTGGTGGACCTGCTCTACGCGGTGGGACCGGCGAGCCGCATTCCGGTGGATCTCCGCCCACACCTCGTCCACCGTCTTCCTGGAGAGCGGCGCCGGGAGAGTGAGCGACCCCTGCCGATGGAGCGCCGCCGCCGCCTCCACTACTTGACCCCCTGCGGTGCTGTCGGCCAGGTTGCTGGCCTGCGCTTGGCTGTTGCTGCTGTCGTTGTTGGCGTTGGCCGCGGCAGCTTGGATATCCTCGACGTTGCAGATGCCGGTGAGGAAGTCATCCATGGACCCGAAGGTCTTGCGGGGCTCGCACACCGCGTTCTGTATCTCGTCGCAGGTGAGGGAATAGATAGAGGTCTGCGCCATCAAGGCGAACCCGAGGTCGAGCTCCCGGTCTGCCGGGTCAGCCGTTTGATCCCTCTCTTCCGGCCGGATAAGCTGGCGATGGCCCCGGTCCGGATCTCGATGCCCGGACGTCATCTCCGCGTCCTCCGACGTCATCTTCCTGCTCTCCGATGGAGACGCCACGTCGGCGCGCGTGCTCCACCCTGTTGCAAAACGGCAACTTGGAGCTTCGGCTTCACTGTGGAGTAAAAATAAACGAGGAAAATGACGATTTTGGCAGAGAATATTGAGCGCTTTGTATTTCTGAGCCACGAAGCAAGCAAAAGAGCGGCTTTCCGTCGGTCGACAGTGGCGGGCGCGACTCCGGGCCGGCTCGGCCGCGCTCGACATTGATATCTCAGAACTACAATGATATATACTACAGAGAGAGCGCAGCATGAGCCCATGTGGGCCCATCCGTGGCCCAAAACAAACATATGGTACTTCTACCAAGGCAGCAAAAGCTGCCTTCTTCGCCAGTTGGGTTCCACCACCCATCCTGCGAACCCCAGAACAAGAAGAGAGCAGTGAAAGCGTTCAATGCGGGAGAGAGGATTCGTCATCGTAAAGACAGTATATCCTCTTTCCATCAAAAAAACACTATCGGAAACAAGAAGCAGCAGTATATCCTCTTTCCAAGGCGAGAAAGACTTCGGCAAAGAGAGTTCCGGCGAGATTACCTTGGCCATGATCACCACTAACACCTCCTCCTCGGGAGGAACCGGCCGCTGCTACAGGTGGCACCCGCGAGACTTCGGCGCTCGCCTGGCTCCCGCGCGACCCAGCACGCAACGAGCCACCGTTATCCCCTGCGCAAGCGAAGCGCGGGGGGGCCCGCTGGGAACGGCAGTCAACTACAAAAGCCGGTCCGTCATAAATGAAAGGCGAGGAGCATCGACACGTACGAGACACGTGTCGAGCATGGGAAACTCCCAGCGCAGCGAGACAGGGAAGCTCACAATGTTAATACGTGTGCCTCGCACGTGATGTTATGGGCCTAACGTAGCAATTAGCCAACCATCTCTGATCATCCAACATTAATGCACGTATTAACATTGTGACATAGACGAGTTAGACATTAGTCTTGTATTGTTAAGAACTAGAATTATTTTCATGATCGTAGTATTATCGACCAGTTTAATTTAATTTTAGGATTTGATTAAATTAATCATCAATAAATTAGTATCTTTATCTCAATTTCGATCGATTTAAATAATTCTTAAAAAATAAATGTGAACCTGTTCTTGGGTGCACTTTAGACCAACTTTCTCGCAAAAACCTCCGATATGATCTATATATATATATATATGTATATGTATATATGTATGTATGTATATATATATATACATATTTGCTTCATATATTCCTCTGACTAAGATTACATTATGCGAAGTGGCAACTCCATTAACCCTATCCATCAGTTTGGAATTTGGGTGGAGAACTCGCATGGAGATATGTGCAAACGTTCAACATCGACAACCATAAATGGAAACTGCCACCCTCTTCCTTTTCCCGATTAAGATCCACCATGATCACTTTCAATGAGATGACACCACGGCACCAGCATCAATCTGTAAAGAATGGAGTCTTTCTCTCTCCTTTATTCCATGGAGAATATAGCCAGTCATGGCAAGTTCCTCCTTCCATGACAATGAAGTTTCGGAAGGTCCGTCCATCACCAACCTCAATGAGTTCCGCACCTTTTGCCTTAATGGAAAAAGGTGGGCTCTCATATGTTTCACGAGACAGAGAGATGCAGATGACTGCCTTGTGTTCTTCCAAAGCCTTTGTATTCTTTACAGGAAGATGCTTTCTTTTCCTTTCTCTTTGTTCTCCTCTCATCTTTGCCAGGAATCACATTGGTGTATATACAGAGGGCACCTGCTTTCTTTGTCCAACGCAAACCAGTCCTCCTCTTCCGAGCACAGCAATGGCGAGGGTGCCGTCGGATCCTCTGGTCGTGGGGATGGTGATCGGAGAAGTCATCGACTCGTTCAGCCCGAGCGTGAAGATGACGGTGACCTACAACTCCAACAAGCTGGTCTGCAACGGCCATGAGTTCTTCCCCTCGGCCGTGGTGTCCAAGCCCAGGGTGGAGGTCCAAGGTGGTGATATGAGGTCCTTCTTCACGCTGGTACGTACGTACGTACACCATACGTCCTTGGGTAGAGCCTCTCCAACTGCTCGCCATTGAAGCTGTTGCTTCTGCTATGGCAGGTGATGACAGACCCAGATGTGCCAGGCCCTAGCGATCCGTACCTTAGGGAGCATGTCCACTGGTAGGTCATGTCACACACTTGAGATTTAGACGACGAAAGAGATAGAACGGTGCTAATCAACCGTCTGGCTTTGTTGATCGACATGCAGGATCGTGAGTGACATCCCTGGCACGACTGATGCATCTTTCGGTGAGCCTTCTCCCCTCTCCGTTGTTCTGTTGGTTGTGTCCCTGCACTCTACTGTGTTTGACATGTGGAGAGGGATGTCAGGGAAGGAGATGGTGAGCTACGAGAGCCCCAGGCCCAACATCGGCATCCACCGCTTCGTGTTCGTGCTCTTCCAGCAGAAGAGGAGGCAGTCGGTGACGCTGCCGGCCTCGAGAGACCACTTCAGCACCCGCCAGTTCGCGCAGGAGAACGACCTCGGCCTCCCCGTCGCCGCCGTCTACTTCAACGCCCAGAGGGAGACCGCCGCGCGCAGGCGCTGATGACGGTGCCTCCACACGTACTCTCTCTAGCTGCATGATGACTAATGACTGTGTGATGCCCCTAAATAAGCCGCCGCCGCCGCCGCTGCTGTTGTTGATGATGATGATGATGATGATGATGTTGTTGAAGTCTTCCTTGGAAGTAGAAGTGGAGTGGATGTATATTATTATGCTAAAGATCTTTATGTGTTCAAAGTTGTGTTATAGATGAGGATATCAGCTCAACAAAACTCTCCATCTTTTACTTTCTTCTCATCCGATATATAGACTTCGAGCTATTATAATAAATGAATTTTAAGTCACTCATGATATATTATTTATCATTTTATATGTTTTCATGTGTTATAGTCCTAAGTATTAATTTTGGTAATTGTTATATTAGATGGTGAATGCTATTTTATTTTTTATTATTTTTCATTTGTTAGTTTATAATATGTTACATGATTATTCACATATATTATTGACATGTATTATAGTTCGATTAGGTAGGTTTTGAAGGAGTTTTACTAGATAGATTTTTGGGCACAAATGTAGGAAATACAAATATGAAAACTATGGATTTCAAAAAAGGAAAGCAAATGTCTGATTCATTATGGTAGAAGCTGTAGAGGTATTTCTTAATTACTTTGAATTAAATAATATGAGAAATTTAACTCCAAGTTTATTAATTGATATTTATAATATCTTTTTGCAATTAAAGTTTGACTATCCTCATACTCAAAGCATGACAAAATGGATGCTACAATCAATTAATTCAAAATGGAGGAACTTCAAATTCGTTCATTATGATAGCTAGAATTATATATCTTATCATTTGAAAAATATTCCTAATATAATTAATAGAGATTAATGGGCAAATCTTATTACTCATTAGAACTCTAAGGGCAGGTATATCATACTCTTAAATTCATTTCAATAAAAAAATTTGTATTATTTTGTGTATGTAAATATATTTATTTATGGTATTTAAAACATATTTTCATAATAGCAAGAGAGAAATAAAGTCAACATATCAAAAACAAAAATCACATAGTTTAGGGAAGAAAAGGATTTTTATATTAGGTTGTTATACTTTTATACCTCTTATAAAAATAATTTTTATGAAAATAAAATTTCATAAACATTTGATGTATTTTTATATTTATTAACAGTATTATTTTTATGTTTTGCTAGGAAGCTAATATTTTTATTATTAATCATGAAAGAAAAAATGATAAGATATATATAGACGAGAGCGCAAGTGTCGTCTTCTCCATCGATGACATTAAATATATGTAAATCAACAATTAAATTTATAAGTACCATAACACTAAATATATGTAAGTCAACAATTGAATTTATCAGCACCAATCAAAACTATCGACGATAGGGAAAGGGGGGTAAAGAGGAAGTAGAGGAATGCTATAAGGGAAGAACATCACAACTATCAACGATAGGGAGGGGAGGGTGGAGAAGAAGCAAGGGAAGGCTAATGATTTTGCACGATAGTAAATCGATATGAGAATAATCGTCAATGATAGGAGGGAGGGGGTAAAGAGGAAATATGGGACGATTAACTATTTTACAACAATAGGAAACCGATAAAAGGATAGCCATTGATGATAGGAGGAGGGAGCAAAGAGGAAGCAAGGGAATATTATGAGTGAACGATAATGAGATTGGCATGAGGGAATGATGTCATAATCATCAGTAATAAAGGAAGGGGTGTAGAGAGGAAGCATGGGGACACTATGAGTAAATAACAATGGAATTAGTATGGGGAATGATGTCATAGCCATCGATGATAGGGGGAGGGGGTGGAGAGGAAGCAATGGAAGGCTAATGATTTTATGATGATAGTAAACCAACGTGAGGATAGCCGTTAATAATAAGGGGGAGGGGCGTGAAGAGAAAGTAGGCGAAGGTGCCAAGAATAATCCGTCGATGGTAATTGATTCCTAACAATCCATCAATGGCAGCGAGCAAATTGTGAGATTGTTGATTGTTCCTAAAACTATATAATTTCTAACCAAAAATAAAAAATAAAAATATTAAAATAGATGAAAAATGAAGAAGAACATAAAGAATAGAATGGAAGAATAAGATCATCGTATCTTATTTAAGGATTCTTAATCAACACGTGATCCTACAAGGATGCATTGTTTTGTTGGGAGAGGAGGCAGAAGATGTCGAGCAAATAGAGAAGTATGGGTTATAAAAATATTCTACGTTTATTTTTCTTTTGACGGTTTCTTAATAATTGTGATCTATAAGGTACGGTAGTTTTTAAAGGCTATATAAAAATATTAAAGTTAATGCAACATACATCAAACTACAACAATAATACATTGTTTTGGCCGCAATTAAAAAAAAAAAACTGCAACTAATACTGCATTGTAAAATATAATTTGCTATAGTGAATCCTAGTTCTATCGTCCTTGTTCATTTTATTGTAAGCTTTGGTTAGATGTTTTGGTGTGCCAAGTCGAGCTTAAGGAATTTAAAACGAAGAGGCAACTTGTCCATTCACATTGGGTTCACGAACCTTAGTTCATCGGGGTCACAAATTGTGAAGTTGTTTTTCCTCTACAAGCTCTTTCGAATGATGGAAAGAGGCAGCGGAGATTCTTCGACGATCCTCATTTGACGTTCGAGTCTGTAAGGATATTTTCGAGGGTTGGGATTCTACGGAGCTTCGAGTATATACGCTTAAGATCAAGCTTAATACGAGTGAATGTGTGAGCGATTGGGGAGAGGCTTCACGTATCTATAGTGATAATTGAGGGTATCTTGTGTTCTTTGTGACGACGGGATGGCATCTGATAGGACAGTAGCGTTGGCCTGGGGAGTAGCATTTGGCAGAGAGAGAGAGATGATGTCTACTGTTCACTTGGCATAGGAGTGACCTATGTTGCAAAGGATGAAGAAGCAATACCTGATGCTCGATACATATTATTTGGTTTGCCACCCTATATATAACATGATAGCTCACGTCCCTCCCAAACTGAGACGGGTGTCGATCTGAAAGTTGCCGATGTGGATAGATATCATTACGAGATTCACACGTTATATTCTCCCTCGTCACTTAGATTGTTCTATACATTCTTCTTCTGACACGAACGAAAAAGAAAGAAACATAAATAATAATCTATTTGTGTTCGGAGATGCAAAGCTTGCGTTAGGTAGAAAGGTGGTTGATATGGGACGGGCAAACTCATCGTCTTCTTTTATGTAGTAGTGGTTTCGATCGCTAGGACGAGTCGCTGCCGTATTCATTCCTCTTCTTTCACAAGTTCAGTGCACCTCACCTTCGATCAAAGATTACACCTTAGATTTTGTGTCAGCGTTATGGTTGTTGGGGAGATTGACGTTGTCGTTTCTCGCATTTAAGAGAGTAAATCTTCAATATGATTTATTCTTTTTTATTATTTTTTTGGATTAAAAATGAGAGTGAAAAGGAGGAAATGGAATTGAGTAGGGTGATTATAGAGGACATTTATCCTAAAATTTGTTCCAAATAAACCATTAAAATCATCTAGAAATGCACGTGATGAGCAACGTATTTTGGTATACACTGAAGCAGGATCAATTCATCAAGCTTTATTAACCGAAGAGGGCGAGATGGAGAGTGAAGCAGAGAGTCGATGGACATGATTCCAATACAAGTTGTAGGGATGCATCGTTCGCCGGCAACGGCAACTGCGGACACCGTCATGCCCATCTCTTATACGACGCGGAGAGACGGCGCCGGCTTAGATCTTGCGCAGCTTGTCGGCCTTGACGATGGGGTTGGCGAGCGCGATGGCCTCCCGGCCCGCCGCCTTGTAATCGAAGGAACACGCGTGCCGCTCCGGGTACCGGTGCTCCCCGCAGTAGGTCGCCCCGCATCGGCACGGGAACCCCGTCAGCCCCACCTTCTTCCGGCACGACGCGCACCGGTTCGGCCGTCGCGCCGGCGGCGCCTCTGCACCGGCCGCCGCCACCGATGCCGCGGCGCTCCCTGAAGGCCCCTCCGGAGGGACAGTTACGGCGATCGGGCCACAGGAGGAGGACGGGGGAGCGGCGACGGCCGAGGAGGCGGCGGCAGAGGGCGGCGGCGGGGAGAGGGATCTCTCGACCGCGATCATGGCGGAGGCGGCCTGTTCCTCCTTGAGGCGGAGGTCGCGGTAACACTTGGAGCAGAGGTTGAGGGTGGCGGGGCTTCCGAAGAAGCCGCAGTTGTTGGCGCACAGCCGGTGGCCATCTTGGCATCGCTGTTCCTCCGCCATCGTCCTGCCTCTTCTTTCTCCCTTCCGATCGATCAATCCAAACAAACAAAAGGCACGAATTCTGCACCAAATAAACCAACAAGCCTCAGATAACGAAGAACAACGACCGAGATCTGCCTCTAGGGTTCCGGACAAGATCAAGACGTCAAGGCAAAGAAAGAATCGCGGATCAGAAGAAATCGATCATGCTTCAATATTAAGTCAGGAATAGCGTGAAGAACCAAACCTAATCGACTACTTTTTCCCAAAAGAAAGAGAAGGTCGAAAGAAGAAACCGACCTCGACAGATCCGATCGCCCTCTCTCCCTCGCTCCTTTTCTCTTCCTCTCAATAAAAGGAGGAGAAAAAGACGGAAATTGAAGCGGTATAAACCCACCAGCACCACTACGGAAACAATATGACGCCTTTTTTGACGCTGGCTTGGCCTTGCGGTTCATTATATAGAAGAAGAGATGAGGAAATGCCACCCGAGTGGCTGATTTATTACGATGGAGCCACCGACGCTTAAAGGAGGCGGGCGGACGGGGTCAGCATGGTGACGGCATGTGTTGGCCACCGTATCGTCGAAGGTGCGCGAAGGATATAGACGAGGCAAAGAAAAGGTCACCAAGGCGTGTCCGCGTCGACGCGGTGGCGTGACCACTCTTGTGGTTCCGTCTTCGACGGAGGGTTAATGTGGTAATTGAACTGATTCGAGTTAAAATATGCCGTCGGTCAAAATGACGAGCACTCCCGTGGCTTCGTTTCCATCGCCACCGCCGTTCGGTCAAACGGTCAAACGCAAAGATGGCTGCGGTTGGCCTTTCCTACGCACGCGCATACGCGTACTGTAACGATCATGTCGTCGCATACACGTAAATTTAACGGATTGCAAACGGCAAGTCAAAGGCGACAACGTATGACTTTTACACCGTAGTCACATGTATAGCATGTCAACATAAAGTCACCACAGAAAAGGCCTAAATAAAACGCATGCCTTCGAAATAACGAAGCAAACATGTATTTGTTTCCTTTTTTTTAAAGCATAAATAATTGGTAAATCTTCTATTCATGAACTCCGTGTCGGCGGAGTGGACAAGGCAGAGGGGACCTCGGTAGGTTGGACGTGTCGACGGGACACCCACGATTGCACCCGACTATTTACCATCCGCCACGTTGACAGCAACCTTTTAACAACTTCGTATCAGTTGAATACTCCTTGAAACCCGACGAATACGTCTTTCTCCAGCTAATCATTACCTACCCGCTACCTACGTGGTGGTGACATGGGAAAAGCTCAGTTGGAGCCCACCACCTCCGGCCGACGACGCCTCCGATCGCGGTGCAGAGAACGGCTCGTCTTAAGCCCCGTCAGGTTACCGTCGATGAGAGATACGACAATGAACACACCGAGAAATTGTTTTAATATGTTTAGTCGTACCGTAAGTCGTGGAGAGTGACAAATCCATCACGACGTCAGCCACGTGTGTGCTTTTCTCTCCCGAAAGAAATATTTGAAGAGGAGGGTCTCAGAGCGTTCTGTCGCGGCCTCCTCCTCGTTTCCTTGTGGGTTCTAACCCTAGTCTTTAGCCGAGGGAGGAAGAGGGAGAGAGGAATCGAGGTGATGGAATCGAATTCGATGGATGGATATTTGGAGAACAACGGGAACCACGCGCCTTTTGATGGGCCCCTGAAGGTCATCATCGACACGGATCCTGGGATAGGTGCCCCCCTCTTGCCCTTTTCTAGATGCATTAGCTTCGGTTGACGGAAATCTGTGTCACTGATACCATGCTTTTCTTTATGGTTTGATGTTAACTTCCAATTCCTCGCGTCTGATTTCTGGGAAGTTCTTTCCTTTTGTGTGTTTCGGCAAGGGAGTTGTGTTAGGAAGTTGATTTCCTACTTTACGGTGCAGAATACTGAATCTTGATCACTGTGGTGAAATCGGTCCTTCGATTAATCCTTTTCAATGTTAAGCTTGAAGTATAAGATTCACTTGATTGCCGATGATTACTCCATATGCCCCTTTTGCCTGATGTTGCCTGATCTGGGTTGCCAAAAATATAGCTTCAGTTTTCCTAATTGGGGAACTATACAAGAGATCATGTTTCAGCGAAAATCTACAACGCTGGCATGGAGATGACAGCTGTAACTGTGAAGTGAATTTTGTGCTCATCTTCCCTGTTTAGGCTAGCTCAAGTTGTACTCTGATGTAATAAATTTCCTTCCTGGTCAGTACACCTCCATCACTATTTACTGAATTACCAACCGAGCTTGTACAAATTTTGAGAATCATCTGAAGTTTCTAATCCTTGAAAGATAAATAATAACATATTCCATGCATTTAGTGTATTACATTATTCTTGTTAATTACGTATTTTCCTTTGTTATACTCATTATTGAATGAAGAAAAATTGATCTCCGCAAGGGTTACTAAGTAGTTGATAATGCACTGGATAGTGCTAGTAGCTGGATTCCATTTCCATTTTTTTAACGTCTATTTTGCATGGAATATGATATATATATATATATATATATATATATATATATATATATATATATATATATATATATATATATATATGTATGTATGTATGTATAGGCTATTTTTCATGGAATGCAGTGATCCAATAAAACATTTTTTGTGTTTATTCACCAGAAGCTTTAGATTCAACATTTAATAAAAATTCTCAACTTTTCAGCACTTTTTCCTTTTTTTCTTTACTTTTTTACTTTTTCATTTTAATGCTCATCAAAGGAGTCCCAATAGGACATTACTTAAAGCAATTTTTGGAGTATGACAGATGAGCAAAGTGGTATGAGAAAAAGTGGTGAACATACGAGTTCCACAAGCCTGGCAGTTGCTTTAATATAAACCCATGATGGTCTGAGCAACCTATGGCATTATAAAAATCCTGTTAATGTCAAAGATGTAGAGTTTGTCTAGATATGGGAACATTTCCAATCATCTAATCAGCAACTAGTATATTAGTGGTACATTTATTTGCTACTACGATATTTAGATGTGGCAGATGACCAACATATGCAACTGTCATTCTTAATCTACACATGCATTAAGCATTATAGTTTCTGGTTTGCTTTTATTACAAGCTGTTTTTCGTTTAAATTTATTTGTTTTTACCTTTCTGACACTTCCATCCATTTTAATGGACTTATTTAAAACTGTATTGTAGCTCAAGCCTCAAGGTCATCTGGTTTATGTATTTAATTTTACGAACTCCCTATGATTTTTTCTTTTGTTGATAGCTTTTGCTATGTTGCAGTACTTTTTTCCCTTATAATATTTTACTATACATTGTCAGATCCATTCATGTTGAGAAAGCTCCTTATGACCTTCGACTTATGTGTTTACTTTGATTGCAGATGATAGCATGGCCATATTAATGGCATTTCAAAAACCAGAGATTGAAATTTTAGGTTTGACAACAATTTTTGGAAACGTGAGCACTGAAGATGCTACTTGCAATGCCTTGCTTTTGGTACTTTCTCCTTCTTTATAAAATAGATGGCAAAGCAGTGGATAATGTTGATTCTGACAACTCAGATAGCATTTATTTTTACTTATTATCTATACTATTGAAAAGGATAGTGTGAGATCGCTGGACATCCTGAGGTTCCAGTAGCAGAAGGAAGCCATGAGCCTTTAAAGGTAGGGGCTGACTGCCATTTATGATTCTTCTATCGCGACTGTGCCTACTCTGTTTAATTGCTGATTTTATATTTTGGGTGACTTTAACTTGATTGTTAAAAATGGTCATCCATTCCTCATGTCTAAATGGTACACTGTGTAGACTACATTATGTCATATGTTCTGTTCTTAATTTTCACAATCACATCCCTGGTCTCAGTTGGAGTGGCTTTGGAAAGTTTCATCTACATTTTGAATGAATTCAAGCTTTTCTGCAAATATATTGCTTCCTGATATATGCACGAGGAATTAAGATAAGTCTAGCATCAGGTCCATATTTGATGCCTCAAGGTATGGAATAGTACCTCATTTATACCATTAGACATTTTATGTCTGAATTTAGTTTACTTCTAGTACTTGTTTCTTAAGACATCTAAAGGTTTCATGTTTCAAGAAGCTTTCTTTAGTGACATTCCATAAGCATATCTAAACTATTTATAAGTTGACAGTGCTGTACCATCTATTTGTCATCAAATTATTTATCGTTATTCACATCCCATTTATATCAAGGGCCTTAGTAATTATAAGCTTCTTACTTTGTCCTCTCATTTCCATGCGATGCAAATTTAAGGATAATGCTAGTCAATCAGACATTTGTACATGTAATGTTTCTGTATGAACTAGAACTTTGTTAATTTTATGTTTCATGGTTGGCTGCTTATCATGTATCTTTTTTCAGTCACAAAACTATCTTGATTTCCAGTATAAAAACAACATAACTAATCTAATGATTTTTAAACATAATTCATTGAGTTCCATGTTTAATTTTGAATGATTGATCTCTGTGTAGTCAGGAATTTTAGTCATGAGTTATAATTATGTGCTATTACTTTTTCATTTTATATTTGCTCCTGTAGGGAGGAAAGCCACATGTTGCTGATTTTGTTCATGGTTCGGATGGTCTTGGCAATATATTTCTCCCACCACCTTTGGGAAAACAGATAGAGAAAACTGCATCAGAATTTTTGGTTGAGAAGGTTTCTCAGTATCCTGGTGACGTGTGCATCCTTGCATTGGGACCGTTAACAAATTTAGCATTGGTGAGCATATCTTTCTACCTGAAATGAGAGCTCCAGGAATACATTAAACCTGATGATGAGCTAAGTTCGTTTTTTTAGTAGATTTCACTGCCATACATGATGTGTTACAATTATATGACTGGCTGGTATTTGCTTGCCTAGGCCATCAAAAGAGACTCTTCCTTTGCAAACAAGGTGAAGAAGGTGGTTGTTCTTGGTGGGACTCTCTTTGCTGCTGGAAATGTCAACCCTGCTGCGGAAGCTAATGTGGAGTCTTTTATACATGACTTCTATATGTTTTTTTTGGTCTTGTTCATATCGTTATAATAATAAATTATGTATTTGTTGGGAAATTTGCCACCTTGTTTCTGAAATAATTCAAGCATTTTTGTTGATTAACTTAAACAAACTAATTAACCTATACAAAAATTACAAATGTTTCTTCAAAATTTCTATTGAATGACTTTGATATTTAATTTTCATTTGTATTTATTCTTTGTTTTTAGATGGTTTTGTCTTAATTTTGTTAAGCTCTAGTGCTTCTTCTATCACTCTTACATAATATGTTAAACTGCGACTTTTTCCATATGTTTTCTCTGTGAATTCTTTTAAAACCTATCAGTGATGCCCATAAACTATGCTCTGCAGGCTGCTGTCCAAGATCTACTGTAGTTTTTTGTGGATACAACTGAGTCAACATTTCTTACGTAAATTCATTTGATCTGGTAGTTCTTTTCATTAAGATATTGCTTATGATGATAAGTAGACACCTCTGTAATTGCCCAAAATGATGCTTATGCTGAGAGATATCTTTAGCCAAAGAACCCTAATGTGGGTCATGTTGAGAAGTATTAACTTAGGCTAATTTCTCTTTCCTAGTCTCATACATCAGTTTTTGTTTAATCGTGGTTAAATTTTGGTCAGTGCTTTCCTAATGTTTTGATTTTTGGCTTACATGAATTTGTCATATAAGTTAAATTCTTGGATGCATATCTTTTAGTATGACTTTTTTGTCTGATCTAAACTATTCCAATCTCCTACCTAATGCTGGCATGTAGTGATAGTAATTTTGCATCACAATGAAAAATATGACAACTCCATCTGCAGTACATTGCATGAAAAATCTTTTCATTTTTAAAGTCTGAATCAACCCTTTTAAGTTTGTCTATGAAGAATCTTATCCAGGTAAGTTTGAAACATTTCCAACCCTGAACTCGCAGATTTATGGAGACCCAGAAGCAGCTGATGTGGTCTTTACATGTGGAGCAGATGTAGTAGTTGTGGGGATAAACGTCACTACTCAGGTCAAACTTACAGGTATTGACCCTTCATTTTTGTTTGCAATTCATTGCTTTTTGTGGTTTTAGGAACTTGCTTTGAGAGACCAGAGTCTGTGATTTCAGATGCAGACCTCTCTGAGCTAAGAAACTCCAAAGGAAAACACTCGCAAATCTTGTATGACATGTGCAAGTTTTACCGAGACTGGCATGTCAAATCTGATGGTGTTTATGGTAGATCCACACTTTTCGCTCCTTATGACTCTTTTACTCAAAATGACATCTTGGACAGATAAGCACTGGTACAGTTATCTAATGCAGGTATTTTCCCACATGATCCTGTAAGCTTTGCTGCTTTAGTTCGTCCAGACCTTTTCACATTCAGAAAGGGGGTTGTGAGGGTTGAAACACAGGGCATTTGCATTGGGCATACATTGATGGACCAAGGATTAAAAAAGTAGGGCTACACCGGCTTATTTAATCAGATCTGTTGAAGTCAGTTTCTTTGCTATGTCTGAAACACTTATTATCGTGCAGGTGGAGCACCAGCAATCCTTGGACAGGTTATTCACCAGTATCAGTTGCATGGGCGGTTGATGCGCCTGGAGTTCTTTCTTTTATCAAACAACTGTTCATGAAACCATGAACTGAGAAAGGGTGACCGAAAGAAGTAAATCACGTCTATTTGGTCGCCTTTGGCAGATATTTTAAACCAAAAATTGCTATTTGCAAGTCTAATAAGGAAGGTATTTCTCGATAAAGATCCTTTCTGTAAGCAATTTCCTCAAGTTTTTTCTCCCACTGCAGGATCTAAGAATAAAAACGGTTTCATTTTTCAAAGAAAAAATTGCTAATTTGCAATTTTCACCATCTTATTGTGGGTTTGGAGCCTTGAGGATTTTGTTACTTATTCATGTCTTGCGTCTGCATGGCTCTCAAGTTCGAATCTGATAACAGGCATCCATGATCTCCCTTGTTTTGGCCCTCTTCTATCATTGATAACAGGTGTAGATAGGAGAGTTATTAAAATAGGTAAAAGTGCAAAGATTAAATTAATTAGCATATGATTAAGAGATTATGAATGTAATGATTGTTAGCTTTAATTGCATATCTCTGTCATAAGGTGGCAGGATCATGGATTAATGATCTTATTGATATTATTGTTTGATAGCCCTCATACAGTAAGAGTATTATCCTAATTACTGTAGGTGTTTTAAGATGGATTCATTAACACAAGTCTCTAACTAAGAGATCAAGAAGTCCTCATCTGGCTTGTGGATTGTGGTAGGAGAGCTCTAGGATTCCAACCATCTCAATTTTGTTTATAATACTGGTTTTAATGCATACAAATATGGTTACTACTATCTAGATCTGTGCATAGTCATGAATCATCTTATTTTCTTTTATTGATTCCTAACTCGATATCATTAGGTGCTAACTAGTTTTGTTAGTAAAAATTCTAATAATTTCTCAAATTTCATCTTCAAATTACTACTCTAGATTTTCAGAAACTAACTTGTGTAGTAATTAAATTCTCACCTCTACTTTTTTTTCTTGTTTGTTATATATTTGCACTTGTGTGGATCATATATACTCTCACATCTGGCATCATGGTTCACTACATAATCTTCTACATCTTGATCAAAATAACTAGATAAATATTGTTCATGGCTTCTCTTTTTTTCTCAACCTGGTTTATTTTTTCTAGTGAATAATCTACTGTTGCATGCGTCACAAAGTACAATAGAACATATAAATGACACCTATGCTTGTCTCTCCAAAAGCATATCATTAACAAACTGTGTAGTCTACTTTTTAATTGGTACATGACATGTGCACTTATTCTCCAACTTAGATCTGTTTCTTGCAGTGTAATTGGAATGATTAACGAGGAAGAATGAGTCCGAACAGGGAAGTCGGCAGTGGGAATGGGACTGATAGTGGAGGGGAGAAAGGCATGGTCGAATGTGATTGGACTTGAGTGGCTTTTCCGAGGCATCTCTTCATGTCGATTACGATGTGTGCAAGGTGGTGTGGCCATTGATGACCACCAATGAAACCGCCGAAGAGAGGATAAGCGGATTGTTATGAACTCTATCTACTCTATGGCGTTGTTGTCACTGCTTCTGCGAGTGCGGTAAGACGATGACCAGATTGCAATGGCATTTGTCTGCCATGATGCGGAACGTGAGGGCTGGTGCAACGCCCCAATTTAGTCCCCAAGTGCGGTATTTGTAAGGGTGATGAGTGCATTACTGTTAGTTTCAGATTAAATATTTTGAGCCAATGATTAAAGATTAATTAATTATCACATTAGGTTATGACAGTTAGTATTAAAAATGATATAGAATTAAGATTTGACTGTGAACTATGCTGAACATTCATGATGATGTCAAACTTATTATTATTATTATTATTAATTTTATCTTAAATATTTTAAATCAGTAATTTAAGACTCAATGAAATTAATATGTCAGTCTTTAATATATCTGTAATTTGCTCAGTGAAATGACTGGGAAAAAACAATTGATACAAACTACAGTTGTTGATAGGTGGCAGGAGGGTCTTTAACTAACAAAACAGAACGTCTTTTATTTTCTCTCTCTGAACCTTTCCCTTTTGGTATCCTTAATTTCTCTCTCTCTCTCTCTTTTCCATGATTGGACAATTATATATAATTTTGATTAAAAAAATAAAATAAGATAGAATTATTTAAAATATTATAAATAGGTACCGGAGAGATTGGTTAATATGGTTATCATTTTCAATTAATCGAGACTTGATATGTGGAGCTTAATCAAACCATCGATTCATGACACATAAACTGAGTGTGTCATGTCAATAAGATATCCAAAGATAATATTATCTCATTAAATTAATAATTATAACATGAACAAATATTAACTTGATTGTCGAATGGGATTCGTCGGACAACATAATCTTTCATATTAATGAAGTAAAATTTGATATATATGTATATATATACATGTATATGTATATATATATTTTACATATA